GCATCCAAATATCCTCCAGCATTTGGACACCCTGCAGAGTCTGCTCAGGCTCCAGGACCTTCATCCCTGGCATCCTGTGGTGCCAGTGTCCCTGGAATGTGTCCCCCGAGTCCCAGCCTGTGGAAGCACATCCCCACAGCCAGTGTGAGGACCAAGAGCCAGACCCAGCTGACCCAGCCAGGGGGTTTTTGCAGCTGTGCTGCCTCTCCTGGCTGCAGAACTGCCCCCTGTGCCCACTGCTGCCTTGGCTGTACCCCTGCAGCAAAGCCCAGCGCCCTGGGGAGGGACACCCAGGAGCCCTGGAACCGCTTCCAGGCGCGGCAGAAAGCGGGAGCCACCAGGGGTGGGTGCCAGATGGGCTCTCCCTGAGCTGGGAAACAGCCAAGTCCTGGCAGCAGAGACATCCTGGGGGCTGGACAAGGACAGCTGGGACATCTCCGGGCTGGGCACTGGCAGAGGAAGCATCTGAGGTGCTGCTTTGGTCTGGGATGAGGTGCCGGGATGGACACGGAGCCGCACTGGAGGGGTCTGCTGGGATGGTCCTGGCTCTGCCTGGCAGAGCTGCACAGCACCACGACCTGCATCTCAATTCATAAACATTATCATCTCCCAAATTTTAGAATGAAATAGCTCGGAGGGAAATCTCTCCCCCCCCCAGCAAAGGAGCAGGCAGGACAAACTGCCTTCCCGAGGTTTCCCTGGTGGATACTGGGATGGGGAATCATCCCCTGGTGGTCCTGACCTCTCCACCATCACTTCCAAACAAAACAGATTATTCACGAGCTCACTTACCTTCCTGTGCTTTGTTTTGTAAATGATGATTTTTTTTGAGATCAAAAACAAATTTTTAACTTTCTGACCAAGTTTTTAAAAAATTTTTTTACCCTATAAAATCTGGTCATTATTGCTTTGTTTCCTGATTATTTGTTTCCTGATTATCCTGTGTAAAATTGCTGCTGGTGCCTTTCCACTTCTTCTCTACATATATTATTAAATGATACAGATGAAATAAAATAAATTGTGTTTTCCTATCAATATGGAATGTTTTAGAACCATAACAACTGGATCACTTGGAATGCCAGCCCTGTCCTCTGCTGTTCTCACTCTCCCTCCCAGCCAGGCACTGCCTGCAAATTTAATAATCATCCGCGTTGTGCCATCATTCAACTCCTAATGAAAATATGGGATAAACCTGCCCCCAGGAGAGACCCTGCCTGGATTCCCACTTCATCCATCCATCCATTCTGACAGGGAACTGCTGACAACCCTTCCCGGGTATTTACAACCAGGTTTTTCACCCCCCTACAATAAATCCATGGCAGTGAGGGAGTGACAAACTCTGGTCGTGTCTGGCACGGGCAGGTCCTTGTTTGTGCCCAGAACAAGGTCCCTGGGCACCAAAGGGCCGTGAGATGCCAAGAACTGATGTGTCCAAACCAAGCCCATCGTGCCTGATGTCCTTGTCACCATCCCAGCAGCGTGGCTGTGTCACCCAATATAATCCAGTTTATAACATAAACCAGGAAGCTTAAAGTAACCTGGTCCTTTTCCCACTTTGTTTTTTTTTTTTTGGAAGTCCTTTCACAGCTCTGCAGTGGGATTTAATGCTTCCAGGAGGCTCAGCCAGGTTTTTAAGACGTTCCTTGGGTCCGGGTTCTTTGCAAACATCCACCTTGGAGCACGTTGCTCGTCCCTGAGCTCCTGCCTTGGCTGCTCTGAGGGCCTGGGGAGACCTCAGGGCTCAAACCTGCATCAGTGTGACCTCGTGCATCCCCTGGGCACAGGGACAGACACGAGGAGCTGAGGTAAATTCCTCAATCCTTTTCCTGGGATGAATTAGCCTCGATCCCTCAATTCCTCAGCACTGAGGGCCCGCGTCACCCACGTGCCTCCAAACCCTGTGGCTTCCCCCTGGTTGATCCTTTCCTTTGGAGCCCGAGCAGAGCATCTTCCTGCTCCATCTGAAGCCTTTTAGTACCAGTACAAGTAATTTTGGTGGGTTTAGGAACCTCCTGACTTTGACTACCAGGAAATGTTGCATTTCAGCGTTTGTAGGATCATCAGGGTTGGAAAAGACCTCCAAGACCAACAAGTCCAACCACTCCTCAGCACTGCCAAGGCCACCACTACCCCATGTCCCCAGGTGCCACATCCACATGGCTTTTAAATCCCTCCAGGGATGGTGATTCCTGTGCTGGTGCCCGACCACCCTTTCCATGAAGAAAATGTTCCTAATAACCAATCTAAACTTGTTATTGCTCCTGCTTTAGGGTTATCCCTTCACCCCCCAATTTCAAGGAGCAGGGACACTGCACGTAAACCTGGATCTCCCCTCCCCAAACTTAGGTTAAGCTGGAGTTCTGACCCTAAACTGGGCATTTTTCACAACGCAGCTTTTTAGAGCATGAGCACAAGGGTTTCTCCAGGTGTTGGCTCTGGAGGGCTTTGGGGACAGTTCACTCTGGTGACAATCTCGTTTCACCTCTGGGTTGGTGCCTGCAGAGCTTTCCCAGCTGTGTGTCCCCAGGGTGGTCTGTGCTGGACACTCAGGGGTGAGTTGTGACTGTTCTCTCACCACTGTTTAAAAGCCCTGTAAGCCCAGGAGGGGGTTTAGTGCCTTTGGCCCCTTAATTTGCAAGGTGAAATCTCAATAACAGTGTTATTTTTGGACCCTTTCGCTTGTGTCACGGAGATTTATAAAGGGTGAGTCACAGGGACACCCTTTTGCTGAGGAAAACTGGACCATTTGGGGTTGTCCTGCCAAGCCCTGGGGGTCTGCAAGGCTGCTGTGGGGAGGGAAAATTCCTGTCACGGCCGTTGGGGGAAAAAAAACCCACACAAGAAATGGGGCTGGGGATATAATTAGAGGCTGTTTCAAGCCTCCAGCCTGAATACCAACACCTCAGGCAGGCAGTTCCTCACTGCTCTGCAGTGGCTGCAGCAGCTGCCAAGTGTGGGGGTTGTTTGACCACCAGCACAGTGGAGTCATTATTGGGACAGGCCTGGAAACCTGGATGGGTGGCCCTGGAAAAGCTGAGACACCTCTGTGGGCAGTGAGAGCTGCTGTGGGGAGCAGTGCTGGGGGACAAAGGGCTGGGGGGGGTTGAGATCTGCCCAGCTCTGATGGTTGGGGGGGAAAGGGGGTGATTTGAGGCTCTAAATGTCCCAGTGAAGGAAGAATGGGGTTTGCCCACTGGACCAGTTTCTAACCTTGCTAAATGCCAAGTTTTGGGTTATCCAGAGCAGCAGTTTAACTCCTTGTGGATGAAGCACTTGGTGGTGGAGCAGGAGAACCTTCAGCCGCGGGGCAGCAGGTCCAGGCTGGTCTTGAAAACCAGCAGTGCTTCAAAACACTCTTCCCAAACCCAGCCAGAGGGATGTTCCCTGGAATTCCTGCCAGGAGCACAACACCACTGGGGCTGGGGGCAGGTTTGGTGGCACGTGGAGCACATCCAGTTCATGGGGACACTGCTGGGAGCCCCCCGGGAGCCTCCAGGGGCACAGCACTGGCCTTGGCTGGGGCTGGCTCTGCAAACAGTGTGAGGCCATAAATCCCTGTCTGCTGCTGCAGGGATGCATCTGTGGAGGTCTGGCTGGTTAAATACATCCAGTATCTCCTTCCAGGGGCCAACAGCATCCCTGCCAAATCTCTCACCACGTTCGCTTCCAGGAATCACTTTGGAAAGGAGCTGTGAGAGCAGGAGCAGGGCCAAGAGTCCAGGCTGCTTCCACTTCCTGCTCCTCACAGCTGGAACAGCTTCTCCAGGTTGCTGGTGACACTGGTGGGATGTGGGGACACAGTGGTGTCAACTCAGCCAAAATCATCAACTCACAGCACAGTTTGGGCTGGAAGGGATTTTAAAACCCATCTATTCCCAACCCCCTGCCACGGGCAGGGACACCTTCCATAGCCCAGGTTGCTCCAAGCCCCATCCAACCTGGCCTTGGACACTTCCAGGGATCCAGGGGCAGCCACAGCTTCTCTGGGCAACCTGGGCCAGGGCCTCCCCACCCTCACACACAACAATTCCTTCCCAATATCCCATCTATCCCTGCCCTCTGGCACTGGGAAGCCATTCCCTGTGTCCTGCCCCTCCATCCCTTGTCCCCAGTCCCTCTCCAGCTCTCCTGGAGCCCCTTTAGGCCCTGCCAGGGGCTCTCAGCTCTCCCTGGAGCCTTCTCTGCTCCAGGGGAACCCCCCCAGCTCTCCCAGCCTGGCTCCAGAGCAGAGGGGCTCCAGCCCTGGAGCATCTCCGGGGCCTCCTCTGGACTCTCTCCAGCAGCTCCACGTCCCTGTGCTGTTGTTCCCAGGGCTGGGGCAGCTCTGCAGGGGGGTCTCACCTGAGGGGGCAGAGGGGCAGAATTCCCCCCTCCCTGCTGCCCACGCTGGGGGATCAGCCCAGGTTGTGTTTGGCTTTCTGGGCTGCAAAATCCCAGGAATCTCCCTGCTCTCCGTGCTCTCCCCCCTCCATCCAAACCTCCCCCATGGGCCAGCACAGGCACCACCAGGCTGGGCTGGGCTGGTCCGCAGTGCCCAGGGCTCCCCCAGCACCAAATTAGGACCAAAGACCACCATCCCTTCCCCCCTCAACCCTTCCCCACCATCCCTTCCCCCCTCAACCCTTCCCCACCATCCCTTCTCCACCATCCCTTCCCCACCAGTCCTCTCCTGATGGCACCAAGACCTGAGAACAAGTGAGACCTTCTCCCTCCAAAAGCCCCACAGACCCCCGGGACAACGGGCAGGAAAAAAAAAACCAGGCAAAGCCCTGGGCAGACAATGTTTAAATGACTTTATTTTTGTTTTTTTTCCTCCTTTTATAAATGGGCACAGCACAGAAATAATTAAAAAAAATAGACAGTACCATTACAGTGCTAGATCCATTGGCAAAGATTATTTTTTATAGTCTTTTTTTCTTTTTTTTTTCATTATTTTTAAAGTTTTGGCCATTGAGTAAGAACAAAAACAATTAACAAACATTTTATTTTATTTTTTTTTGTTTTTTAAACAGACACTATGAAGCAATTTAAGTACTAAACTCTAGAAGAGTTATGTACATACAAAAAAAAGTTCTGTTTAAGATATGTTTCCTATTAAAAATATTTACATGCATTTTTTTTTCCCCTCCCGTGTTCCTTGAAAGGTACAACATTTGGGAGTGTTCCAGATTTTTTTATGTTTTGTTCTCCTGTTGGGATTGTAAATCAGCTCCAAAGAATGACTGAAGTGGGGTCACTTGTTGGGCTTTCCTTTGAGTCCCTGAAATCTTCTGGAAAGGGATATTTTATTTTTTTTTTTTTTGGATGTATATCAACGGATTTTTATTTTTATTTTTATTTTTTGTTAATCTTTTTTTAATTTATACAAGACCATTTCCTGGTTTATTTACAGAAGAACCAGCGGGTGATGGTTTATCCTGGAGACGTGGTGGGTGGAGTGAGGGAGAAGCAGGTGATTTTTAAAAAGTAGTTCCATCAAACTGCGCTGGATTGTTGTTTTTCTCAAGTCAGCAGTTCCTGTCTGGGTTGATTGTCAGCTGTGCTGGGGTGACTTCGACCAGGTGGGACCCACAACAGGGGGAATTTAAAGCCCAGAAAGTCACTGGTTGCCCTCGAGGTCTTTGGAGATGCTGCGGATGAACCGTCGGGAATGTCGGGGTGAAAAAAAAATGGGGCGTCGCGGGGGGGGGGGGGGGGGGATTTTTTTACCCCCCAAAAAATCAACGTAATAGAAAACAAAACCAAAACCAAACAAAACAACAAAAACCAGTGAACAAAAAAAAAAAAAAAAAACCTACAAAATTAAACCCAAAACAAAGTTTGTACACTCCAGACTGAGGCTCCTCTAGAGACGGGGGGTGGGAATGTCCATGGAGCTGCAGGCACGAGGGTTGTGGGACACGCCGGAGCCACCACGGGGCCTCGGGAGCATCCCGGGATCTGCTCCAGCTCCAGCAAGTCCAAAGGCTCCTTATCCCCCCCCTGGAACACCCAGAGCCAGACTGGAGGTGACCAGGATCAGGCTGGTGCTGTGACAGCGAAGGAAGGAGCAGCAAGGAATTCATGAGGAATCCTGCATCCATCCCATGGGATGGGGTGCAAGGGCTGCAGAGCTGCTGATAAACACCACTCCTCCTCCTCCTCCTCCTCCTCCTCCTCCTCCTCCTCCTCCTCCTCAGGTGCAGAGTTCACCCTGAACCTGTTCCTGCCCCCGTGCCTTGCACGCACACGTATATACATATATACATATATATTAATTACATACACATATATATACATACAGACACACCACACACCCATCCCCTTGCTCCCAGAGGACCCCCAGAAGCTGCCAAGGATATCCCAGGGAGATATCCCAACAAACCTGTGGGAGCTGTCCCAGTCAAAACCTTTCAGTGCTGCAAACTCAGCATCACTTCAGAGCCTCGCAGAAAAGCTTCGAGCCCCCTCCCTCCCCCCTCCCCCTCAAAAAAAAAAGAGTGCTTAGGGAGGAAAAAAATGAATTTAAAAATCCAGTCTTTGTTTTTTAAGAGGGTTTTGTTCTTGTTAAAGCTGGTCCCTCGTAGCAGGGGTTGGAGAGGAGGGGTCTGGAGAGCCAGAGACAAGGCCTGGGGGTAGCAAAGGGATCGTTGGCACCCATCGGGCAAAATAAGGAGAGAACGGGATATTTTGAGAGAAACCAGCACACCAGGGCACCCATCCAGCCCAGAGCCACCACCCTCCCTGCAGCAGGATCCCCTAAGCTTGTTTTTGTCCTGCTGCTTGTTTTTGAAAGGTTCAAAATCAAAGAGATTTCTGGAGGAAAGACACATTTCAGTCCCAGCCCTGCAAATCCCGTCCAAGCCTTGGTCCTGCTGCTGACTGGGGCCCCTCCATCCCCTGCCCTTCCCGTCCTCCCCCTTCCAGCCCCTCCTCTGGGCTCTCACACGTGTTTTCTGGCTTTCCTTTCTCCCCTCCTGCCTCCTTCTTATTTCTGTGGCCCGGGAGTCCCTGGATATTTATCATTCTCCTGCTGCAAATCTGAGAGTGCCTGAAGGGCAGCACAGCTGGCAGAGGAGCCCAGCCCACCTTCCACGCTGTGCAGTTCCAGAGCTTCCAAAATCCTTCAGCTGGCGAGGCAAAGAGTCCTCCTTCAGCTCCAGCACATCACACACACACGTGCACAGGCAGAAAAGAGGTGGAAAAACCAAGTGGGAAATCCTTCCTCTGCTCCCACCCCCCCTCAGGGAGCACAGCTGGAAGGATGGGCACAGCTGAGATCACCAGCAGGGATGTGTCTGTGCCCAGAGGGATGATGCCAGACAGAGCTGGCAGGTTTGGGGAGGGGGTGATGGGGGAGATGCCCAAGCTGAGATTGGAGTTAATTTTCCTAAAGATCCGCTCGGCAGCCAAACCAGCAGCTGAGGGAGGGCACTGGGGTCCCTCCCCGCTGGGCTGTCTCGCTTCTTCCCAATCCATCTTCCCACCAGGAATGCCCCAAAAGCCCCGGAGCAGCTGAGCAGAAGCCGCCCCCACCCCTCTGAGACGAGCTCAGCTGGGTAAAACCGGGGCCAAGGTTGTGGGTTCAGTCCCTGTGTGGGCTTGAGCTGGGCTTGAGACTCAAGAGTCAGGCTTGATGATCCTTGTGGGTCCCTTCCAGCTCAGCAAATGCCCCCCTGCACCCCCTGGCAGCACCATGCCACCAGGTTCCACTGGGGTTTTCCCCATCCCATGGACAAACGATGGTGGCTGAGGTTTTTTTGGAAGGGGACCTTTCCCAAACACACCCAGCCCGTGTCCAGCTCTGTCCCACCATCCCCTACCCCTGGAGGGAGGCTCAGGATCAACCACCCCCAGCAAGACAAGGCTTTTTTCCCCTCCCAAGCATCAACTCCACCAACTAATCCAGTGCCCCTGAGGAGCTGAGGCGACAGGAAAGGCTGTGACATAACCCATAACTCATAATTTACCACCAGAAAGGCAGGCTCCAAGCCCAAAAGACGCTCTTAGAGCCTCTCTGGGCAGACAGCAACAGAGCCAAGGTGTGGAAGAAGGAGAAGAACGATGAATTAAGACTTTGATCACTTCTGATGATCACTTTAATGACCTTCACGTCTTTTTTTTTTGCACGTGCTCATCTCCTACTTTTAATTACTGCAAAGGAAAGGTCCTGCCCTGGCTCCTCTCTCCCCCTCCCACTTCCAGCCCCCCTCACTTGGCAAACTGTGACGGATTTAAGTGCCAGGATTACAACTTAACACCAGCTGAGAGAGCCGAGGTTAAGCTTGAGCGAATAAAAAAATTGTATTATGGAACTTCAGACTATTAAATAGGGGGGAGAAAAAAAGGAATGAAGAAGATTAGGAAAGCAGCTAAGAAAAGCAGCATTAAAAAGATTAAGCTGGGAGAGGTTGTTTTTTTTTCTTTAATGCAAGCTCAAAGGATTAATTCCACGTTTTTCCAAAAGATGGTGGGTTTGGGTGGCCTTGATGCCAAGCCCTACTCATTAAATCATGAAGAGGCTTGATTTCTACCACTGCCCGCTGCTTGGGCCCCTTGGGTGGACCCAAAAGGACCAAAAATCCCCCCAAACCATCCAATTAATGAGTTGAAACTCCCCTTTGAGCAGGAAAAAGTGGCTTTTGCCCCCAGGGTGGCACCAGCCTCTTCAGCTCTGTGGACCCTCCTTCCCTCCTCATCCCCCACAGCCCAAGGAATGCCCAAGGATGGAGCCAAGGAATGGTCACACACACACTCAACACCATCTGCCTTCCAGCACCACCATCCAAGGCATCCAACGGGATCATTTCCAAACTCCCAAGAACCTAAACCCACGATGACTTTGAGGCTGGCAGCTCTAAATTGGGCATTTTAGAGCTGATCCATGCACAGGGCTCTGCTCCCTACCCTGAAGTAAAGCCAGGCTGTCATTTTGGGTCACACCCCAAGGGAGTGTCACCCAAACCTCCCATCTGCCCACCCACAAATCCCATCCAACCATCCCATGCAGTGCAATGAAAATGTACAGGGATTTCATATGTATAACTGTGTATGGATGTGAGTGTGCGGGTACATATATATATATATATATTTAAAATATGCATTTGGCCTCTCAAATCCCTTCCCCAAAGAAGCTCTGCTGTCTCACACCCTCCACCAAGGCCATAAAACCCCATATCCACTGACACCCTCGGGGGACAAAGTGTCACTGGCCCCCGTGCAGGTTAATTCACAACACACAGAAGAGTCAAAGCAGCTCATTTTTCGCCCCGTTTTCCTGTTTAAATTGCACTAAGAGCAAAGCCAAGGCCTCCATGGGACGCCACCGAGATCACAACCGTCGTGAAAACAAAGCTCCTTGACTGCATCCCGAGCGGCGCTTCAGCTAATTAAAAGCCAACTCACTGAAGTAACTAATTGACTTCCCTGTGCAGAGCTCGCTCCTAAAAATCCAGCCTTTCTGTAAGGCACAGTTGGATCTGGAAGAGGCCCTGCTGCTCTGCACCCTCAGAGGGGAAACAGCTCTTGGGTGCTGCTGGATTCCAGGGATCCGATGCCATCAGATGCCATCAGGCTCCCGGTGCCCCGGGGGTTATACTGGGATTTAAGGATCAACACAAGGAACACAAACCATCAGTCCTGGGGCTTTCCAGTGATGTGTAGCAGCCAACCTCTGCCTCATCTTCCTCACCTTCTGGGTGCCTCCAGGGATCCCTCCCTGACCCCCGAGGGGACAGAGTGTCACCTCTCCTTGGCATCTCCTTCCTCGTGCTGCATCTCCCGCCTTTGTTCTCCACTCCGGAGGAACCTGGGAGAGGACTGAGCTTCTCCATATCCGTCTCCACCCCTTGCCAGCTCCCCACCAAGCTCTGTTCCAAAACCAGCACTCTTGCAAGCCCAGTTTTGTTGGTCACAGTGAAACCCCAGCCTAAGCAAAGTCCCTTCTCCACCAAACCCTCGGCAGGTTCAGGAGGTTGAAGGTCTCTGGCTGTTCCAGGGAGGTGGTGGCAGGAGGGTGGTGGCAGGAGGGTGGTGGCAGGAGGGTGGTGGCAGGAGGGTGGTGGCAGGAGCAGCAGGAGATGCCCCCGGTGCTGCTTCTTGCTGCTCCACAAACTCTCTGAACAGTTGATCCAAAGAGATCATTCCCAGCCTACTGGCCACGTTTGTATTTATTTCTTATTTTGCCAAGAGCAAACCCCGGGGCAGCCAGGTATTCCAGCCCCTTGTGCTTTTTTCCAAGGTTCCAAGCATATCTGGGAGTTGTGCCCTCTCTTCCAAGAGGAGCAGGGAGCGAGGGAATTCCTGCAAAGCAACCAACCCCGTTCAAAAAGCAAACAAAAAAAAATAAAAGGAAGACAGAGGGAAAGAAACCTCCCTCCTTTATGAATGGAAAAAAACCAAGGAAGATAAATCCAAACCAAGCCCCCTGCACCCCAGGACTGGGAGAAGGTGTCCGGATCCCAGAGTCCATTGTGCTGGGAAAAGTTCACTTGACCTCCAGTCGCTGTGGGCAGCCTGAGCACCCCACCCTGTGCTCTCCAGGGCGCTCCTGGGCACGGCCACCTTGGCATTGGCTCCTTGCCCTGTCCATCCCAGCAGCGGGAAGGCCGGCGGGGCTCGCTCCGAGCTCGGCGATGCTCCGGGCACCCGACGTCTCATCACGCCAAAGATGTGTTTGCTCCTTCAGCTGTTGCGGGTTTTTGCTTTTTCAAACTCACAGTCTGATCCAAAGGGAAAAAAAAAGAGAGGGAAAGAGAGGGGGAAAGAGAAGAGGCCGGATGAAGTAGAGGAGGAGGGCGAGTTTGGAGCGGGGAGGGAGGGAGGGCGAGGCACGCCGGCTCTCCTTCTACGCGTAGAACTCCTCCTGCTTGTCGGGCTTCTGGTAGGTCACGTTGGCTTGTTTGGGCTCCTCCAGGGTGTAACTGCCCTCGTCCTTCTTCTTCATCCGGTAGATGAGCAGCATGACCAGGAAGGCGGCGAAGAGAGCTCCCACCACGCCGCCCACGATCACGGCTGCAACACAACACGGGGCACGGCCGTCAGTGCCGCCCTCGGCCCCGGCACAGACCAGCTGGGGAGGGGGCGTTTGGGACTGCAGCTCGGCTCTGTGCTTTGCACAAAGCTTTGGGAGCAGCTGTTCTCCCAAAATCTACGGTGGGGAAAGCTGACAGGGAAGGTGGGGGGTCTAAAGGTTCGAGAGCTCCCCAGGGAGCGATGCCGAGGGCTGGTGGCACCCGAAGGCTTCTGCTCTCAGCTGCACCTCAGTGGGTGATGCACCAGCACGAGGCAGCCCCTGCACAGGCTGTAACCTCGTGTGAGGAGGGGCCCCCAAGAGCTGCTCATTTGGGTTCTACCCTCAGCTGAAGACCCCCAGAGCTTTGGCTGCCCCTCTGTGCCATCCTCAGTTGCTGGTGGGACACTGGCACCCCTGTCCCACCTCTGATGCCCCTCTGGTTGGGACAAGTGGCCCTCTCAGGGCATCTCCCTCCTCCCCTCAATCGATCAGAGGTGGCTGGGTGTTACTCAGCAAAACATCTTTCCACTGACATCCTGATTTTTTCCTGGAAACCCAGCTCATCAGGAGCAAGTTGTGCACAGCTCTGTGCTGTCCCGGCAAAAAATGAGGAGCCCCGGGATGCTCCAAACTCTCAAGTCAAAGAATAGGGAGCTCTAGGATGCTCCAAACTCTCCTGGAAAAGAATGAGGAGCCCTGGGATGCTCCAAAAATCTCCCAGAAACGAATGAGAAGTCCTTGGATGCCCATTTTGGCAGGTGAGTGTGGGTTATCCCAGGCTTGGCCCTACCCCAATACCCTGCCAAAGACCGACCCCTCTCCTGGGGCACGGCCAGCCCAAATCTCTGCCCCCCAAGCCCCCCAGCCCAGGCCCCTGGTCTCACCTATCAACACCTCTTTCCTCTCCAGGATGTTTTTCTGGGGCAGCTGTGCCGCGGAGTTGCCCGAGTCTATCGTGTTGTCCAGCAGCCCCGTGTCCGCGTTCCTGCCGGGCCCGGGTCCCGCCGGGGGGGTCACCACGGCCATCACCTCGTTCCCGAGGTCGGGACGGGTCGTCTCCTCCTCCTCCCGGATCTCAAAGTCCCCGCTGGGGCCGCTGCTCACTGGGACCTCCAGCTCGTTGTCCAGGGCTGTCGTCACCTCCCCCGGCTCCATCTGGGAGAGAGGACAAGGTGGAGCAGGGGACAAGGACTAAAGGGTGGCTCCTGCCTCCGGCAGCTCCGGTGTGTTTAGAGGAAGGACATCACAGCAGCAAAGACAGGGTGGCCCTCTCAGCAGGGATAACACTGGGATGTCCCTTCCCTGAGCTGGACAATGACACTGCAGCAGCAACACAGCTGCGCTTCCCGGTGCTCCCCAAAGGGCTGAGCTGGACCACTCTGCTCTGTCCCCATCCCAAGCGCATTCAAGATGCACAAACTCTCACCTGTTGCCTGTAGCTTCCCCTAAAGAGACCCCAGAGCCCAGGCCCTCCTTTGGGCTCTCTGTCCCCTGACCCACGGGGGGATGACACAGCTCACAGGGGCCTCCTTCCTACACACAAACAACACCAGCATTCGTTCCACAGCAACAAGGACCAGGTGCTGCTGATGAGCACCATGGGGTCCCTTCCCTCCCCCTTTTCTCCCTTCCACCTGCTCTGATGGCTGCAGCCCTGTGCACAGGGCAGGAGCAGGAAGATCCTTCCCACCCAGGACATAGAGCCAGCCCAGATCCCTGCAGTCCCTGACCAAGCCCCCCGGCCAGGAAGGGAACCCAGCCCGGAGAGCAAACACGGGCTGGGCAGATGAGCCACTCCAATCCCTCCATCCCTCTTCACTGCCTCCTGCACATCCCCAGGGCCAAATCCCCGCTGACCTTCCCCCTTGTCCCTGCCGAGCTGGACCACACTGAGCATCCCTGAGCCAAACTTCCCTGGGATCCCTCCTTTGTGGGGAAAACGGCTCCTTCCACGGCCGCCTCGGCACAAATCGGGACGAGCAGAGCAGGGGGTGGGTGAGCGGGAGCCCTCTCCATATCCTCTCCGCCCGGGGCCAGCACACGGCTCAGTGCTTCCCACAAGCAGCCGTTTGTGTGACAGAGATTAATTGAAGGTCAGCGAGAGCCCAGAGCGCTCCCCGCTCGTGTTTGTGCGCAGAAAAGAGGGACTAGTTTAGACAAATCACTCCACCTTTCAGTCAAAGCGCTCGCAAAGGGCCCCCGAGGGGCTCTGAATGCGAGACGGATCAGTGGATTAAATCCCCCGCTCAGGACACCCGACGGGCAGGAAATGCACCATCAGGCCGTAATTGAGGAGCTTTTGGGAGGAGCGTTTGGGCCTCCCACTGACAGGCCGGGAGCTGGGAAATGGTGCGGTGAGCCCGGACACCAAACCCCCGGGAAAGATGCTCTGTCCCCGTGGGATGTGGTGCCCCCAGCCCTGCACTCCTCCTGCCTGGGGAAGCTGTTCTGGAGCACCCGGGCAAGGCAGCACTGGGCTCACCAGGACACGTGTCACACCCCTGGGTGTGACATCAGCTCTGCCCCAGCCCCAACACCATGCCCTGCCCACGCTAAACCCCCCACTCTTTAATTCCCCCCAAACTCCCAAATGTTCCACTCTCTGCAGAGCTGGAAGAGCCCAACCTGGCTTGACCTCCCTCTGAGCAACTGGCCCAGGACAACTCAACCCCAGAGGCTTCCCGTGGCCACCTCTTGGCTCCACACGTGGCCCACGAGCCCCTCAGAAGGGTCCTGCCTCCTACCTGGGGGGCTTCTGTGGGCAGCGGCGTGGCAGGAGCGGGTGGCAAGGCCGTGCTTTTTTCTGTGAGCTCTGCAGTCCTGGAGCTGGTGGGTTTGGGCAGGGACCTGGGCTTGGCTGTGCTGGTGGGGACAAGGCGTGACGTGGCCACCTCCGTGGGTGTGCTGGTCTCGGGGACGGCCGTGGTGGGAGTCTCCAGGGTGGTGGCCCGGGTGGTGGCTGCCTTGGTGGCAAAGGGGGGCAGGAACCTCCTGGTGGTGGTGGTGGTGGTGGTGGTGGTGGGCTTGGCCGTGGCCACGGTGGTGCTGGTGGTGGTCGTGGCCTGGGGGGTGGTCGTGGTGGCCGCCGTGGTGGTCGTGGTGGTCGCCGTGGTGGTCGGGGGGGCGCTGGGAGTGGTGCTGGTGGTGGTGGTGGCTTTCCAGCTGGGGATCACCGGCGTGTCTGTGGTCCTGGAGATGTAGAGGACGCTCGTGGTCTGCCCGGGGGTGGTGTCCTGGGCGGGGGATGGCTCCAAGGGGGTGGCCACGGGCTGCACGGCGGTGACGGGCAGCGTGGCCGCCGTGGTGGGCGGCGGCACTGCCGTGTCCGTGGGGAGGCTCATGGCTGTCTCCAGCCCCAGCTCCTGCTCAAAGTCTGAAAGGGGCGGGAGAAGAGAGAAAAGTGAAGCCGCTGCTGCCAGAATTTCCCAGGGCTGACCCGTTCCTGGCCTCATCCCCCAAAAATAGAGCACGGAGTGGTTCCAGGCTCAGCTAAACCAAGGGCTGCAGAGCCCCTCTCTGGGGTCTGTGAAAGCTCTAAACACGTGCTCCTGTCGTAGAGCTCCTGCTGAAGGGCTGATCCTGCCCAGCAGGGCCAGAGACCGAAATCCCAGAATCACAGAATCGACCAGGTGGGAACAGACCTTTGGGATCATCAACCTGTGACCCAACTCCACCTTGTCACCCAGCCCGTGGCACTGAGTGACACGTCCAGTCTGTGCTTAAACACCTCCAGGGACGGGGACTCCACCCCCTCCCTGGGCAGCCCCTGCCAATGTCCACGGGACACCGAGGCACTCGAGCCCCCAACCTCTGGCACAGCTCCCTCTGCTTTTGTCTAGGAGAGGGCAGGAGGCAGAGATGGATGAAGGGTAATCCCCTCCCTCACATCCCACGGCAAGAACCTCCCCAGCCCCACCAAGCCCAGAGCCAGGGACCCCTCCCAGGAGCCCCAGAGGCACTTACAGCCCGAGCCCGAGCCGGAGTAGACGTCGTCCAGCTCATCGTCCCCAAAGGGATCGTCGTCCCCAGAGCCCTCCAGGTCCACGGGCCTCTCGTAGTTCTCATTGCGCCAGCGCTGAGCCTGGGGCCGAGGGGGAGAGACAGTGAGCAGCTCCAACCCCCAAAGCAGGGCCAGTGACACCAAAGCAGGGCCAGTGACACCCCAGACACAGCTCCAGCCCCACAAAACCAGCGCCAGTGACACCAAATCAGGGCCAGTGACACCTCAGAAACAGCTCCAGCCCCACAAAACCAGCTCCAGCCCTACCAAAGCAGGGCCAGTGATAACCCAGACACAGCTCCAGCCCCACAAAACCGGTGCCAGTGACACCAAATCAGGGCCAGTGACACCCCAGACACAACTCCAGCCCCACAAAACCAGCTCCAGCCCTACCAAAGCAGGGCCAGTGACACCCCAGACAGCTCCAGCCCCACAAAACCAGCTCCAGCCCCACAAAACCAGCGCCAGTGACGCCTCGTGGGACAAGGCACGGGTTAAACGCAGCAGGGAAAAGCAAGACCGAGGGAGCAGGAGCACAGACAACCCCCAGAATCGTGTTTTCCCCCCAAAACAACTCCCAGCAGACATTTTGTGGCGAGCTCGCGCCGACTCCGATGACATTTTCCCATCGGAAAAAAAGCCCCTCTGGGGGGCGGGGGGGGGGGGGAGGCAAAAAACCCAGCGACTGCTTTTGGGAACTGGCAGTAAAAGGCTCAGTCTGGTTCCCCAGCTGGCTGTTGTTTCGTTCTCGGCGATTTTCAGGCGTCCGGGCTCTGGTGTGACAGGAACACACCGTCAGCTGCCACAGCTTGGAAAGTCTGGATGTGAAACAATATCAGACTTCAAATATTCCCCCGCTCTGCGGTGCTGCTAAAACACGGCGAGCCCTCGCTAGCAGGGCTCTTAAACATCTTGTTTTGCAGATCAAAGTGTCTCCTGTTTGTGTTGCAAGGAAGCGGTTTGACACTTCATTACAAGGCAAACAAGGAGGCTTTGATCTGCGAGATCGCATCAGATGTTTCGATGTAACGAGCCAGGTTGGTGCTTCAATTTAAAATGAGGGGGTTGAAGGGTCCCCTTCCCCTTTCAGAGCCTTTTACCTCCTAAAAACAGCTCGGAGTTTCTTTGTTTTCATTCCAGGTTGGAACAAAAAGGAGTTTTGAGAAGTCGGGAGGTCTCATAACATGGAAATTTAGGACGTAACTCGTGGTTTGTCCCCACAACCCTTCTCCTGGAGCCCATCAGACAGCGAGGGAGGGAGAATCCCACGGTGAGATGCCCAGGGCTGGGAGGTGGGAGGACGATCCCAGGGGCTGTGGGCTGATCTCACGGTGCCCAAGGAGGTGTCTGCTGGCCAAACCCTGCCCAGGGGTCCTGCAGAGGTGCCCCCTGTGTCACAGCGTGAGAACATTCCCGGGGCCATAAATCTCTCGGGAAGGTCAAGGGGAGTCGGGCTTTTAAGTGCCTGTCTCTCCTGGAAATGCCGCTGAGCTTTTCCTGGCTGGATCTGTCCCAGCTCTCCCCTGTCACTGCATCCCCTGGTTGTGTCCTGCCAGTCTCCAACACACCACAGGGTTTCCAAATCGCTGGGAAATTCAGTCTTTGCCCCAGAGATGAGGCACCATCCTGGAGTTTCAAACACTAAAGGAGTTTGTTTTCCACCAGAATTAATGCCCAGGGAGCTGGGAATTGCACAGCCCTTTGTTGAGCCACAGAGGCCAAACCCCACTGCAGCACAAGGCTGGGGATGGCACCCAAAGGAACCCATAAATATGAGACAGGCCACCAAAACTGGTGGGGCAAACGCAAGGGAAAAAGTCAAGGATTGAGGGGCAGGAGGAAGAAACATTTGGGGCTGCTTTTATTTGCTTTTGGATGTTTTCACACCAAAAACATTGTGGCTCACCCAGAAATGAGGAGACCTCAGTGCAGGAGCCCCCCAGACCACCCCTGACCTCCAGAGAGCTCCCCCAGGGCCGGGTCCTCCCTGTGGGACCTCAAAGCCCTGCTGGAATGGGAGCCACATGGATCCATCAAGCCTCTTCCTCCCTTCAATTGGGACCAGATGGGGCAGTTCCAGCCACCAGCTCCCCGTGCTGGGACCAGGAAACGAGAGTGGGAAGCACCAGCATGTCACAGCAATTCCCATCCACCTCCTCATCCATCCATCCCACAGCTACCCATCCATCCATTCCCATCTATCCTTCCATCCACCCACCTATCCATTCATCCTTCCTTTCATCCATCCATCATCCATCCCCCACTTATCCATCCATCCACCCCACATTCATCCCCATCCCCCATTCATCCGTACCTCCATCCATCCCTCCATCCCTACCCCCACCCATCCATCCCTCCATCCATCCATCCCTCCATCCATCCATCTATCCATTCCCATCCCCCATCCATCCCCATCCATCCCTCCATCCATCCATCCATCCCTCCATCCATCCCCATCCATCCATCCATCCATCCATCCCCATCCATCCCTCCATCCATCCATCCACCCATCCCTCCATCCATCCCTCCATCCATCCCTCCATCCATCCATCCATCCATCCATCCATCCCTCCATCCATCCCCATCCATCCATCCCTCCATCCACCGGCCCCATCCATCCATCCATCCATCCCTCCATCCATCCATCCATCCCTCCATCCCCATCCATCCATCCATCCATCCATCCCTCCATCCATCTATCCATCACTCCATCCCTCCATCCATGCACTGCGTGTCCTGGCTGTGCTTTGCCGGGATCAGAGCCCGGAGCGATGCCGTGAGGGACGATGTTCCAATGGCTCTGAGAACTGTCCAGCCCCAAATCCAACAGTGAACATTCCCACGAGGATAACACCGATGGATCCTCTGCTCCCACCTGCTGCCTGTGGCTCCCTGACATGTTTGGAGCTGGGAGCCTTCCCTCTGGCTGTGTCTCCTTCCAGATCCACCCCGTGCAAACCCACGGGCAGCAGGATCTGTGCCACATCCCAGGGATCCCCTGGCAGCAGCAGGATCTGTGCCACATCCCAGGGATCCCCTGGCAGCAACAGGATCTGTGCCATATCCCAGGGATCCCCTGGCAGCAGCAGGATCTGTGCCACATCCCAGGGATCCCCTGGCAGCAGCAGGATCTGTGCCACATCCCAGGGATCCACTGACAGCAGCAGGATCTGTGCCACATCCCAGGGATCCCCTGGCAGCAGCAGGATCTGTGCCACATCCCAGGGATCCCCTGGCAGCAGCAGGATCTCTCTGTGCCACAGCCCAGGGATCCCGTGGCAGCACAGGATCTGTGCCACATCCCAGGGATCTGGCAGCAGCACTGATCTGTGCCACATCCCAGGGATCCCCTGCAGGATCTGTGCCACATCCCAGGGATCCCCTGGCAGCAGCAGGATCTGTGCCACATCCCAGGGATCCCCTGGCAGCAGCAGGATCTGTGCCACATCCCAGGGATCCCCTGGCAGCAGCAGGAACAACCTCACAGACACAAAACATCTCCCAGGGCCACAACACACACACCCATCCCCTCCCGAGGTGAGGGAGGGCCCTCCCCCGCTGCCCCTCCCAGCCAGCCCGCAGGAGGGCACAGCTCTGCTCAGCCAGGGCTGTCCTGTGTGCATTCCAGAGGCTTGGAAGTTTATCCCGAGGAGGCAGGTGGCCCAGGGCCAGCCCCAGCTGCTGCCTGGCCAGCTCAGCGCGTGTAATACCAGTGACCAAGCACCACGCTGCAATGTTCACGGAGCTGCGGCATTGCCGCTGCTCAGGGGAGGGGAAATGTGGGATGGCAGAGCTTCCCTGCTCTTGCTCGTCCCCAGATCCCCGAGGCTGCTCCTCAGCCGCTCCTGTGTCCTGGGGGAGCCGGATACAAACCCACGGCGAGCAGTTACGGATGCCGAGCAACCCTTTGCTCCTCCCAGCATCCTTCATCCCGGGATTTCATCTGCCAGGAGCAGGCACGGGGGGACCCCAACCGCAGCAAGCACGGCCCCAGCCAAGCTTCACAAAGCCTGGATTTGTAAAGCCTTGTGAACCCTCTCCGGGTGTACCCGGTGCAGACGGGGGGGTCGGGACGCGGCTGTTCCCAAAGAAGTCCCCTCCCGAGGTGCTGAGGTGACTCTGCTCCCAGCCAGGCTGCCCCAGCCCCAGCCCGGATGGTGTCGGGTCAGGCTCGGGCAATAAATCTCGGGAGCGGTCGGTGTTTATTTGGATTTACGGCCGCTCAGATCGTTAATGCTCCGCGTGCCCCGAGCCGGTCACGGTCCCTTCTCCCTCCCCCGGCAACGAGGGGCTGCTCCCCCTCGCCCGGCTGGGATGAAGGGGAGGGGAATGCTGAGTTCGCCAGCCCGGGAAATCGCAAATCACTCAGGACGGCAGCTCCCACCTCCCGACCCGGGGCTGCCTCCCCATCCGTCACAGCCCCCCTCGGGATCCGTCACAGCTTCCCCTGCCCACCCCTCACATCCCCCACGGCAGCAAAGCCGCAGCTGCCTGGATTTGTCCCAAAAGAGAAACTTCATCCAGACTTTATCCCTGACCCGGCAGGCTCCACGGGGCCCGAGGGAAGCCGGAGGGAGCCCCGGGTGTGCTGATCCATCCCCTGCAGCCCCTAGTCCCCTGGGATGGGATCGTCCTACAGGAGGGATGGAGCTGCTGCCCCACTGAGTGTTGCAGGACCCAAGGGAAGGTTTTCCAGGGCATTTTATGGATTTTATGCCTGTCTAGGGCTGGGGGGTCACACAAGCCACATCCACATTTTATGTCTGTGTGGGGGTCACAAAGCCACATCCACATCTGGCTCAGCCTCCTCCCGTGTCTGGGATGAGGGACACACTCCAGCTTTCCAGGTCCTCTGAGCAGCCTCTCCGGGTGTCCAAAACTGAGCCAGGCCGGCGAAGAATCCTCGGGGCAGGGAGCAAACCCCGGTGTGATGCCCATCCTGGCCCTGTTCCCTCTTCCCCACCCCCCGCCCCGCGATGCCGAGGGCCGTTTATTAGCCAGCTCTGAGCCAAGGGCCAGCAGCTCCATCCCCGCAATTACAACTTCCCAGCTAATGGCTCTTGGCAGGGGTTCTCTAACCA